TCGGAGATGCCGGAGACCATTACCAGCCGAGACGCTGCTCGTTTTCCCATCGTTGCCAGTTGCACCCTTCTGGGGCTCTACCTCTTCTTTAAAGTGAGTGAGTGACCCCGGCGGGCGCCAGAGCCAGCGTCTGCCGTCCTCCCGCCTGGTCAGGAGCTCCCGAAACAGGCCTGACTCGACTTTTGGCTTACCCTAGTTGGGAGCTTTTCACGTTGGGCCAGAAAGTGCATAAAGCTCGAGCTCTTCCATGTTACCAGGCAGGAGGATGTGCATTCTCGCCTCAGCCATAACAGCTTGGGGTAAAGCGGGGGCTGTTTGTGCACAGGGTGGTTCTGGAGAGCTGCGGGGGGGTGAGTTCACCCCCGAGCTCTGCCTGCCTCGGTTGTGCCGACCTGACGGTGCGCGGACTAAAACTGGGGGGTGCCGGGGACCACTGAGCTGCCAACGCTGCCGGCTCTGTGTTGTCCGTGCGGAGCTGCTGAAGGCATCTCGGCTGCAGGCCGGGTCTGTCGCTAGCTCGTGGGAAACCCCGGTGTGTTCAGATGGGGTCACTGATGTGCAGAGCCAACAAACAGAGCTCAATGGCCGAAGGATCCCAGCCGGTGCTTTCTGCTGTCTTGGCTTAAAGCACCTTTGGGTGCCGGCACACGTGTGGCTGAGCTCCTGAAGGGGCCTGACGATCCGTGGGGCCACCAGCACCTTGGCACGGCAGCTTCCAGCCCTGCCATCCTGGGCTGCCTGCGAGGAGGAGGGTGCAAATTTGGGAATATCTCAGTTTAAAGCCCCTTCTACCGTGCAGCAGCCAACGGACACCGCAAGCCCTGCCCTGGGTCAAGTGGCCAGTGGGCTGGTGGCCGTGCCACGCACATCCTTGCCTGAGCACCAGCCCATGCTGCCGCTGCAGCGGGAAGACGAGCGCGTGCTGCAGCCTGCGCAGCCGTGGAGCTCGGCTCTGCAGGAGCAGCAGGCAGGATCCGGCCTCCCCAGCACTGTGTCCTGCTTTCCTGCCATGGTGTGCACTCCGGGGCTGCAGCTCCCCTTGTAGGTCACCAGCAGTAAAGCCAAGCGTTGGCTGAGCCTCTGCTGACGATGGGGAATGGAGCAGCCACCAAATCCTGCGCTGGGCCCCTCTGGCCATGGAAAGGACTCCCTGCAGCCCACCCCATCCCCATAGCCCACGTTTTGGGGTAGTACTCCACCTCCTTGGATGCCTTTTCTGCCACTTGCTCCTGGCTGGGGTGGAGTTGCCGGGAAAAGCGGTACTGAATGTGCAGCGTCGCCGCGTGATCGGCGACTCTACATCTGCAGCTTGCCGTGAGCTCTTGTGTTCTGGCCCCCCCTCCAGAAGAGCCCCCAGGGTCCCCCCCGCGCTGGGTGTTGGGCTGTGATTCGGTGGTAAGGCAGCCTGTGCATCCGAGGGCAGGATTTCTAATAATACCCTGTTTAATTAGGGCAGGACGCACTTGGCCCGCTGCAGGAGTGAGGGGGGGGTGCTGCTGCTCCCCTCTGCCGGGGCAACCCGCGGCGCCTCGCTCCCTGCTCCGGCTGACTGCCGGGAACACGCCGAGGAAGCTGTGTCCTCCTTTCTGCAGCGCAGGAGTTATTTTTTTTTTGCGTGTGTGTGTGCGACAACTCGCAGGCCTGTTGTGCTTGTCCTGCAAGTAGGTGCCTGTTTCCAACGTCTTTCACATCAGCAGTGCAGGAATTTGGGTTATTCCAGCTTATTCTCCTCGTCTCCCTGGAGCACTGACACAGCAGCTGCTGATTGCGACGTGAAGTGCTGCGGACAGGGAGGAGGCTGCGATAACTGACCCTCTCTCTGGATTTGTCTTGCAGATATTCTCTCAAGAGTACATCAATCTTCTGCTTTCCATGTATTTCTTTGTGCTGGGGATCCTGGCCCTGTCCCACACCATCAGGTACAACAGAGGGAAGGGTGCGGTTGGGGCGGGGGTGTCCGAGGCTGCCCCCTCTGTGAGGTGTTGAGTTTATCGGGGGGTCTGCAGCACCATTGTCTCACAGCAGAGCCAAATCTAAATCTTGGTTCCCAAGGGCAGGGAGTGACAGGACAAGGGCTAATGGGTTTAAACGGGAAGAGGGAGATGGAGATGGGACATCAGGAAGGAATTCTTCCCGCAGAGGGTGGGGAGCACTGGGACAGGTTCCCAGAGAAGCTGTGGATGCCCCATCCCTGGGAGTGTCCAAGGCCAGGCTGGATGAGGCTTGGAGCAACCTGGGCTATGGAAGGTGTCCCTGCCCATGGCAGGGGGTGGCACGGGGTGGGCTTTGAGGTCCCTTCCCACACAAACCATCCCGTGAAATCCCAGCTCGTAGGGGGTTTTCCGCAGTGGCGTGAAGGGCTCTCTGTGGAGGCAGACCCAGAGCAAGCTGTGAAACCTTCCTCATGGGGCAGCCAAGGGCAGAACCAAAATCTTGTGGGTCCCAGCAAGCTGGAACCCCACGCAGCACCGCTGGGAAAGCTCGTGGAGGTGCGGGTGGTCGCTATTGCCAGAGCCGTCGTGGGCTGGCACAGCCCTCACTGCCCTGGATGTGGTGGGAGAGGCCCGTGGCACCCGTCTTCCTCTCACTGGGACGGCTGAAACAGGCAGCTGGAGCTCACGGCAGCGTCCCCGGCCTCGTGTGCCGGTGCTTGGCATGAGGTGTTGAAACTTCGGGCTGTTTCGGTAACTGGTTCAGTAAAATTGGTTTCCTGTTTCCTGAGCTCTAGGACGTTGGGGACCAGATGCTTTCCCTAGGCTGGCACTGTGGGCCCCCACTCCCGGCTCTGCGGGAGGGTGTTTGGTGGTGGTATTGGGTCAGTTTTGGGTCACCGGCCCCGTACCGTGCCAGGGGGCTGCGTGGGGGGGACACAGGGAACGTGCTGGGGTCTGGGGTGGGTCTTCACCTCTTGTGAGCAATGCTCTCTGCCTGTTGCACCAGAGCATTCTGGGGGACTGTTGCATCCATGAGACCAGACCTCTGGGCAGGATGAGGTCCCACGTCTGCAGCTCGGTGACCGGAGCTGTTTTTTCCTGGCACCGCGTGTCCCTGCCCGGAGGGGGTGTGGGCCACGTGTGCTGCGACACTGTCACGCAGAGGTGCCGGGCAGGTTTCTATCCTGCTGCCCTTCTCTGTGCCTCTCGTTTCAGCCCCATGATGAACAGATTCTTCCCTGCGAATTTCCCCAACAAACAGTACCAGCTCCTCTTCACCCAGGGCTCCGGGGATAGCAAGGAGGGTACGTTGGCTCACCGGTCTCTCCAGGGGCCTGTGTGTTTTCTGCTTTTACTGTTCTGTTTCTTGCTCGCTTGCTGTGTCAGCCCAGTCGAACAACCTTCAAAGGAGCCTCTCGCTCCCTGCTGCGCTTCCGTCCCCAGCATGATCCCCGTGGGGCCCTGCCGAGCCGGGGCTGCCGGCTGCCTCTCGCGCTGGCAGGTGCTCTCCCTCCGTGGTGCCTCTGGCTGGCAGCGAAACCCCAGCAACAGATCCCAGGGTGCTGTAGGAATGGAGCTGTGATCCCTGTTAAATGCTCTGCCGTTATTTAAGCTCCTGGGGTAGCGTAGCGCTGACTTTTGTGCTGCCCTAACTGATCCGACTCGGATCTCTGCACCGGTGAGATTCGGCCCAGTAGCGTTACTGGTGAGGGAACACTTCTGGTGGTACCACCAGGAGTTAACTGGTGCAGGAAGAGGGGGATTTGCCTCTCCTGCCGTGGACAGTGCCTGAATCCAATTTCCTTGTTGACAGAAGGATCGCAGACGCTGTCCATGTGGCAGAGGCTGGCTGGAGGGCTGGTTCCTGGCGCTTGCACACGTTCACCGTGGGCACGGCCGTGTCTGCGGGTGCAGTCCCCTCGCCTGGGACGCGAGCGCTGCCGCCTGCACTGCCCCCCGTGCTGTGGTCGCTCACCTCTGCCCTGCGTGGGAAGGGGAGCCGCCTGGGCTGCCCGAAACCTGACTTCTCTGTTCTGTCACAGAAATAGTGAATTACGAGTTCGACACCAAGGATCTCGTGTGCCTGGCCCTGAGCAGCGTTGTGGGCGTCTGTGCTGAGAAA